CTGGTAGTGGTCGATGTAGTGCTGGTAGTGGTCGATGTAGTGCTCGTAGTGGTCGATGTAGTGCTGGTAGTGGTCGATGTAGTGCTGGTAGTGGTCGATGTAGTGCTGGTAGTGGTCGATGTTCTTGGAGATGAAGTGCTAGTGATGGTAGTTGTGGGTTCATGGCTGGTTGTGGTAGTGGTTGTCGTTGTGTTGTGTGGTGTCTTGGTACAGCAGACACAACCATGTGTACACGGGGACGTATCAAAATTGTTTCTACATTTAATGGCTGCCATCTCTTTGGGAAAACATTTGGTTGTGCATCTTTTTCTACCATGAATAAAATGGTGTTCATCACTGTTTTTAAAATGACACGTTTTTTGTGTGGTACTAGTGGTCGAAGTAGTTGTTGTTGTGGTAGTTGTTGATGTAGTATTTGTTGGGCTTGTCTTTGATATGGTGGTTGTAGTGGTCGCAGAAGTGGTCGATGTTGTGATGGTGGATGTAGTGGTCGATGTTGAACTAGGTTTAGTAGTGGTCGATGAGGTGCTGGTGGTAGAAGTGGTCGATGTAGTGCTGGTAGTGGTCGATGTACTGGTAGATGAAGTGCTAGTGATAGTAATTGTGTGTTCAGGGCTGGTTGTGGTAGTGGTTGTCGTTGTATTGTGTTGTATCTTGGTACAGCAGACACAACCATGTGTACACGGGGACGTATCAAAATTGTTTCTACATTTAATGGCTGCCATCTCTTTGGGAAAACATTTGGTTGTGCATCTTTTCCTACTATGAATAAAATGGTGTTCATCACTGTTTATAAAATGACACGTTTTTTGTGTGGTACTAGTGGTGTGAGTAGTTGTGGTAGTTGTCGAAGTAGTTGTGGTGGTGGTAGTTGTCGAAGTAGTTGTGGTGGTGGTGGTTTCCGAAGTAGTCGGTGATGATGGTGCTCCTGTAGTTTCTGGTGGTGGTTCTGTAGTTGTTGGTGGTGGTCTTGTAGTTGTTGTTGGTGGTAGTCCTGTAGTTGCTGGTGCTTCAGAAATTGTTGTGGATCTTGTACTTGTTGATGAGACCAGCGTCACTAAAGTAACAAAGACTAGTATTAATCAGCGTGTTCATTGTGGCCAAGAAAACTATGTAAATGTGCAAATATGTTCATAAATTGGTAAATATATTGACAGATGAGTAAATATTACAGCAGGTTATGCTGTAATTTTCATTTACAGAATAAGAATAATATTCTTATTCTGCTATATAATAATAGCAGTTTTTCCTGTAGACATATATTATTAAATATGACCGAAAAAGTAAGATTAATAATCCTAACACGAATTTTCTCAATGTTTCTTATATTTTTCTTCATTGTTGAAGGTAACTGAAAAATTAATTCTCCAAAATTCACTTTTATTTCTAGTCTGACGCGACACTTGTGCGCGTTTCGTAAAACTTATTACATTTTTCAAAGACTTTAGTTTACACACACACAACTATAACTGAACAGAGCTTAAACATCTTCCATTTTATACCTGCATTTGGGTGAGGTGATATGTTACAACAGTTTTGGATGAGGTGAAAACAAACTTTCAACACAAGACAGAACACGAAACAATGGGTATAATATTTTGTAAGTTAAAGGGAAGAATGGAAGTAACTGCAAAGGGCCTATTGACCCATATTTCTTGATGCTTCTACATTGGTGCAGAGTCTTGAAGTGGGTAGAATATAGTTGTGCATTAATTGGCTGTTGATTGCTGGTGTCGACTTCTTAATGTGTAGTGCCTCGCAGATATCTAGCCGCCTGCTATCGCTGTATCTATCAATGATTTCCGTCTTTTTTTGTTAAGACTTCTCTGGTGATGGTCTGGTTGTGGGAAGAGATTATATGTTCCTTAATGGAGCCCTGTTGCTTATGCATCGTTAATCGCCTGGAAAGAGATGTTGTTGTCTTGCCTATATACTGAGTTCTTTGAGGCTTACAGTCCCCAAGTGGGCATTTGAAGGCATAGACGACATTGGCCTCTTTTAAAGCGTTCTGCTTTGTGTCTGGAGAGTTTCTCATGAGTAGGTTGACCGTTTTCTTGGTTTTATAGTAGATCGTCAATTGTATCTTCTGATTTTTGTCTGTAGGGATAACGTTTCTATTAACAATATCTTTCAGGACCCTTTCCTCCGTTTTATGAGCTGTGGAAAAGAAGTTCTTCCCTGCGGTGCTCACCCTTTTTAACAGGAGAGTCCTACTGCTTCGTTCATTCTCCTACACTGGTGCAAAGACCTCATTCTCCCTTTCGCCACAGCCTGGACACCCAGCCATCCACTTAGGGCAGCCACTCACGGGCGACCCCTTCAGCGTGTTGTCCGTTTGCTCACAAGACCCCTACATTTGTGTTCCTTCGCACTACAATTCCCAAAGAAGGACAGGAAAGAGGGCGGGGGCAACCCTCACCGGCCCCAGAGAGGTGTACATGAGCCCACTCACCACGACAAGGAAACACAATGCAGGGGAAGAGTAAGAGTAAGAGTAAGGGCGGCAAGTCGGATTGGCAAACAGTAACAAGTGGAGTACCTCAGTGTAAATGACATGTTTACAGGAGTTGAGTCTTGTATGTCAATATTTGCGGATGATGCGAAAGTAATGAAAAGAGTTGTGACAGATGAAGATTGCAGGATCCTCCAAGAGGACTTGAACAAGTTGCAGAGATGGTCGCATAATGGATACTGGAGTTCAACATGAGCAAGTGTAAAGTGATAGAAATATGACTAGGTGACCAAAGGGACAATACACAATGAAGGGGAAACTATTTACCTGTGATGACTTGAGAAAGAGACCTGAGAGTGGATGTAACACCTATTCCAACTCCGGAGTCATATATAAATTGGATAACGACAGCAGCGTCCTCTACGCTAGCAAAAGTTAGAACATCATTCAGGAATTTAAGTAAGGAGGCGTTTAAAACGTTTTTACACTGCCTACGTGAGACCAGCCTTAGAGTATGCTGCCTCTCCATGGAATTCTCACCTGAGAAACACAGAAGGAAACCGGGAAAAGGTCAAGTAGTTTACGGCTAAGTTTGTCCCAGAATTGTCAGGAATGGGCTATGAAGAACGACTGAATGAACTGAACCTGACGACGCTAGAAAAAGTCTTGTCTTGTCCCATACTTGCCCGTACGCTCCTCTCTTTACATTCCTTGAGGGAATGTAATTCCTTGCAAAGTTCTCTCTCGGTTCGTTGTTACCAATATTTTTTCTCGTGTCGTTCCATTCTTGCCCCCATGAAGGGTCCCTATTGCAAAGTTTTTTTAAAACCTTGAACCACGTGACTAAAGCTTTTACCTCTCTTAAAGTTATGAAACGCTTTTCTTTGAACAATTTTCTTCACACACTCCTGCTCCATTTCCGTCTTCACCGATAGGTCTAAGTCAGCAGACGGTGTAGGCTACTCTGTTTTTTTTCCTGACCACACCTATATGTGTCGCCTGCCTCCGGAGACTAGCATCTTCACGGCGAAACTTTATGCAATTGTATGCTCTTCATAAACTGATTTATCGCTGTCAATCCTCCTTTGTTGTTATAGTTGACTCTCGCAGTGCCCTCGTGGCTCTGAAGTCTTTTAAACCAGTCTATTCGACTATCTGTGGTAGTAGAAATTCAACATTTGCTGTTTCTTATTTCCAGAAGGTTTAAGATCGAGGAGTTTTGCTGGGTTCCCAGCCATATTGGCAGGTCCTTAAATGAACGTGCGGACGCTGCCACTAAGGAGGCTATCCACACTTGTCCCATCTCTCGTAAAGGCGTTCCTGATTCCCAGTTCTATCCGGTTATTCATTCCTCAATCCTTGCCCGTTGGCAGGGTCGTTGGTCTTCTGTTACTGGTAACAAAATGCGTGCTCTTAAGAGTAGTGTCTCCATGGCCATCCTCCTACCACCGTAACCGACGGTGGGAAACGACTCTGGCGAGGTTACATATTGGCCATACACACTTAACTCATGGGCACTTAATGGAGCGCCATCCTGCTCCTTATAGTCCAAACTGCATTGTCCATCTTACGGTCGAGCATATCCTTGTTGAATGTCCTGACTTCCAGAACGCACATATGTTTTGCTTTCCGACCGTCACTCGCTGTCACTTGTCCCTCGATAGAATTCTTGATGAATCGGATACCTATGATATCGTTCGCCCTATGCGCCTTTGTTCTCGTATTGGCATCCTTAGTGATATTTAGCGCCCTTTGATTATTGTGCACATTTGATGGTGCTACATAGCCTTCCCGGTTTGGTGCCTTTTTTTGATAATTACTTGCCGTCCACCACACAACACTTGCACTTACCTTTCGTTACACATCACTTGCACTTATCGTCCACCACACAACATTTGCATTTACCGTCCACCACATAACTCTTGCACTTACTGTTCACCACACAACACTTGCACTTACCGTCCGCCACACAACACTTGCACTTATCGTTCACCACACAACACACCGTCCACCACACAACACTTGCACTTACCGTCCACCTAACATCACTTGCAATTACCGTCCACCACACAACACTTGCACTTACTTTTCGTCACACAACACTTGCACTTGCGTCCTCTACAGCCGTTCTTCACCGTGGTCTCGCCCGCTGAACACCGCTTCCTGCAGGAACCTCCAAGCTTCTGGCACTTTTTCTTCAGCTTACACTCTGTGGGAAGAGCAGAATGTTCCCTAGATGCTCACCGCCAAGTTGTTATAAAAGAGGAATACATGAACATAGGTGAAACATTTCATTGGTGTTGTCTCTTAACACACTTTATAATACAAGTTCAAGAACGGACAAAGAATTATTACATAAAAAGTTATTACAACAACAGTGTGAGAGTTTAGATGAAATGGAATGTGGATAATGATAATGAGGAAATGAACTTTGAAAATTTCTAAAAATTTTCTTTGATTCTTTTAACCTTTATTCCTGTCGTGATATTCAATTAGGTTGCCTGAGGAAGGACTAACACACCAGTGTAGTAAGCAGTTCATTCCTCACTCTGCGACCATTTATGAACAATTGACTAGGCGCGAGCAAATGCCGAGACCCCAAAAAGTTGAAATCTCCTCCACTTAGGCCGTTGACCTTCGTCATTCGCTGAAGTGAATCTAATGAGTCGGTCCTGGGCTCTCACAACAAAAATTTATTGTTGTGTGGTGCCATATATTTAGCCCAAAACCCATGAATCAGTCTCAATTTAATAGTCGAGTGTGAAGAATCACTTACAGAACCATATAAATTTGTGGGGTGTAACGAAAAGACAGTGTTCAACATAATAACTAAGTTTACTTAATAAAGTACTGACAACTACAACAAAACAAAAGAAATATCAATGACGTTACTCGAAATCCTTCCTGTGACACTATCAATGACAGCTCGACACCAGCCCCTCAGACTGCATAATGAACTAACGCGAACATAAGGCGTGAACACAGAGAATCAATCAAGCAAGATACAGATCTCTAATCACACCTGCAACTATGAGACAGTAGGTTTGGAGACACGTCTCTAGTAACCTCCTAACTGTTCTACGCCTCTGTGCAGTCCAGACCTGCACTAGCGGTTGCAATGCAATCAAATCAGTAGCCTGTCAATGACACCCCCCTCACTGTCTGGCCCGTTGCCGCCGTGAGGGGGCTTGGTGGGCAGCTGCCGGAGTGTGATGCTCCATGGGTCAGTCCTCTGTCCTTTTGCAGCCTTATGCTCCTGCTGCTGCCTCTACCAATTTTGCCAGACCCCTTTTCCTTTTCCTCGTGTTTCATTGCTCTCCCCCCTCTTCTCCTATCAAATTGTCATTTCCCGCCGACCTTTTGCCTGTTTTGATTATTCTTTCGACCTTCTTTTGTTTTGATGCCCGGGTGTTTGAGGAGGCATACTCCTTCACCCGTAGAACTGTAGTACCCAACGTCTTTAGCGAAGGGACCCTTTTATTGTCAATCCTCCTTTCGCCACTGAACCAGCTATCGACGGACTCACGGTTCTTAAGGTGGCGTTTGTGGGGCGTATACTCACGACGCACCCCTGGGGGGCCCCGGCAAGATCGGCGATAGCTTCTTGTTGGGTGTCCTGCCTCTAATTGTGGCTCCATGGTGGGTATGGGGGCCACATTCGTGAATGAAAGTTTTTCCTCGTTTTCATGGCAGATAATGTTTCCCTTGTACCTTCTCAGGCTCATGGGGTGGGCGACCAAGCCCCCGAGTCGGACTGTGTTGGAAGACCAGGCCCTGTAGCCCCTGCATTGGGCACCAACGACCTGACTATTCCCCTCAGCTCCCCTCCCTCCTCTGCGGTAGGGTCGAGTCCCCATCCCCCAGTGGTGACTACCACCAAGGGAGCCGGTCGGCCGAGCGGACAGCACGCTGGACTTGTGATCCTGTGGTCCTGGGTTCGATCCCAGGCGCCGGCGAGAAACAATGGGCAGAGTTTCTTTCACCCTATGCCCCTGTCACCTAGCAGTAAAATAGGTACCTGGGTGTTAGTCAGCTGTCACGGGCTGCTTCCTGGGGGTGGAGGCTTGGTCGAGGACCGGGCCGCGGGGACACTGAAAGCCCCGAAATCATCTCAAGATAACCTCAAGATAACCTCGTCCCCTGGCACGGCTCCATCTCCCATTGTGACTACTGCGCCTTTTTACCCCCCCTCTCTCTGGGGGTTCTGAATGCCGTCCCCACCACTTTTGCACTCACACGATCCCTTCCCGTAATAATACTTACAACGCCTTGTTTGGTCCTGCTACGTGGGCTAAATACTTTGATCTCCACCATCTGGATTCTACTCCGCCAGACGATTTCTCCCTCCATAAACACCTTGTTGATTCAGTAGATGCCTCTGTTACTTTTAACTCCACCAGTTATGGTACGCGTGTCGTCGCTGCTCCTTCTCTGGATGCAGCTACTTGCGTAGCTGCTTTGTCCTGCATTGGAGAGACCCCTGTTCAGGTCTCCAAAAACGCTCGGTTAAATGCCAGTGTTGGCACTGTTCTCCTCCCACACCATGTTGCAACTGGTGTTCGGGACCTCAAAGATTGCCATGAGGATATTAAACATATCCTCGAAGCCCAAGGCCATTCTGTCCTCCAGGTAGACACGTTTACTCGACCCCCCTCGTGGTCGTCGCCGTCAGCCCCTTCGAGTTGTTAAAACCACCTTTGATAGTAGGGCCCTTCCGCCCTCTATTATTCTTGCTGGTGCCAGATGCTCCGTTCAGGACTACATTCCCTCTCCTAGACTTTGCAAGAAGTGTTGGAAGTTCAGGCACGGTGTCCTCAAATGCACCAGTACTGTGTATCTATGCCCCATGTGTGTTGACGATAGTCATTCTAAGCCCGAGTGTGCTTCTCCCCAGGCTCGCTGCCTTAATTGCGGTGAAGGCCACCCTACTTCTCACGCTCGTGTATGCACTACAAACTCGAGGAAGCCGTCCTCAACTTGAAGCACTGTGATCGTCTGTCTTTTCCTGAAGCGAGACGCCAAGTTCGTCGTCTCACCCTTTTCGCGGGCATCTCCTACGCTCGCGTGTTGCGTTCTACCTCTCCTCGTCCTTTCCGTCTTCCTCAGTCTCACAACCGTTTCCAGGCTTTAAACCCGACCACACCCCACCACCTCCTCCCCTATTCCTTTGCCTCCTGTCCCGGATGGTCTCCCTCCCTGTTCTCATTCTGGAGTTTTCCCCCTTCCTACCCAGTCCACCATATCTCCATTGTCTTCTTCCCCATCTCCCCCCACTCTTTCTTCCCGACCCTCCCACTACCCGCCAAACACACAGCGAAACTACGACGTTGCTACAACGTTCGAAGAAGTTTTAACACCACCTAACCAGTTATAACAACCAATATAGCAAGTTGTAACAACGTTCTAATACGTCATAAACACGTTAAGCCAAGATGTAACAACTTTATTACAAGTTGTAACAAGCGGAAAATAGGGTCAATTACGGTTTGTGTTTCCAGGGTAGTCTCTTGACCCTCCACGCCACCTGTCTGTCCAGGCTGATATCCATCATCCTCCCAGCAATCTTCATGTTGTTTGCCCCGTTCCTCTTCTCCTGCTGAGACCATTGAGTCTGTCGCCCAGTACGTTGTTACTGGAACGCCTGTCTCTTTGAGTCAGAAACGTAAGCCTGGCTCCTCTCCTTCTTCCTCTCCAGCGGGTAAGAAGGTTTCACTTTCTTCCTCACCCACTCCCTCTGACTCTGTCACTACATCCCCTCCCATTTCAGTGGTCGAACCCCGTGTCCCAAATATGGAGGTTTCTTTCGCCCCCGATTTCCTCTCGGTTGCTGCCCTTGCTGAGGTGCACTCCCTGACTTCTGTCCCTCCCCCCTCTTCTACAGCTGTCCTTGCCTGCCCCTCTCAGTTGTCTCCTCCTCCTCCGGACCCTGGCAGTCCGCCTCCGGTCTGTCCTCTCGCTCCTTTCCCTCTATCCTTACTAAGTTTACCCATGCCACCTAATCCTGATTTTGCCGACCCTGCTCCTGATCTTGACCCTGATCCTGAGATTCTTTAATAAACTGTGTTCTTCTATACCTTTATTTCTTTCTTGTTCTTTGTTACTGTCCTTTCTCTTTGATAATGTCTATTCTTCAGTGGAATATTCGTCGATTATATGCCAACTTCCATGAACTCCAACTTCTAATTACACAGTTTTCACCGCTTTGTGTTTGTCTCCAGGAACCAATGCTGGTGCTCGTCCTGGTCACTTTCGTGGTTATTCCTTTCTTTCTCCCCCCCCCATAACTCTACTGCTCTCTTAATTCGTTCTGATATTCCCTTCGTCCCCTACTTCTTCCATCACCTATACATTGTTCTGTTGCCCGTGTTTTTGTGGGTAAATGGTATACAGTCTGTTCCATTTATCTCCCCCCAATGTCCCGCTTTCCCTTCCTGATCTTAAGCACCTCCTGGACTCCTTGCCAGAGCCGGGAGTCCAGGGTGATTGCAACTGTCGATATTTCCTCTGGGGCAATGTTCTGACAAACACCCGAGGCCGTCTTCTCGAACCGTTCGTCCTCGCTTCTTCTCTACCTCTTCTGAGTTCTGGTGAGCCCACTCATGTGGACTCTCGAACTCGCACCCTTTCCTGTCTTGATCTTTCTGCTCGTCGTCCCTTTACTTAGATTTCACGTGGCAGGTTCTTGATGACCTCCATAACAGCGATCATTTCCCTATCCTCGTTTCTTTTTTCTCTTTCCACCCTCCCCTCTCCTTCCCTAGGTGGCAGTTTGCCAAGGCAGACTGGAGCCTATTCACCCTCCGTGCTACTCTCTCTGACCTCTCCTCTCTGCCTCTTCCTCGTGCCCTCCTTCTTTTTTATGACACTGTCTTCAACGCTGCCCTCCGCTCTATTCCTCGCTCTTCCTCCCAGGGCACACGGAAGTGCGTTCTCTGGTGGAATGCAGACTGTGCTCGGGCTGTCCGCTGTAAGCGTGCAGCCTGGAAGAAACACCGCCGCAAGCAGACAGCTGATTCTTTTATTTTGTTTCGGAAGGCAAGTGCTGTGGGCCATAGGACCATCGGTACAGCTAAACGTGAGAGTTGGAAATCTTATATTTCCACCATTACATCCGATACTCCTCTGCCGCAGATTTGGAAGAATATCAGCAAGATTGCGGGCAAGTTCGTTCCAGATGTCTCGCCGGTTCTCCACCTTTGTGGTACTCTTGTGGCGGATCCAGTGAAGGTCGCGACCGAACTGGGTTCCCACCTTTCTACTGTTAGCTCTGGTTCTCATCTTCCTCAATCCTTCCTTCTTCGTAAACCTGTTCTTGAATCTTATCCTTTAGATTTCCACACTCATCTCCGCCTTCCCTATAACGATCCTTTCTCTCATTCTGAACTTCAGTCTGCCCTGGCCCTCTGCGGATCTACAGCGGTGGGCTCGGATGACGTTCATTATGAGATGCTTCGCCATCTCCCTCCGTGCACGTCTCAGTATTTACTGAGTCTATATAACCAGGTCTGGGAGTCGTTGTCCGTCCCAGAGGACTGGCTCGATGCCGTTGTACTCCCTATTCGGAAACCAGGGTCTCTCAGTACGTCCTCTAAGGACTTCCGCCCTATTGCACTCACGAGTTGTGTTTGCAAGCTGTTTGAGCGT